TCATTTTTATTTACTAGTTAATAGAATCACAATCAAATTTAAAGTACTATCTTTCTACCTTGCCGTCGTTCCATGCAATTTCAGTGGTTTTTATATGACGTCGTGCTTCCGCATCTACCGAGAATTCCTAATTAAAGCGGTTGAATGAAATAAATATATATAACAGACTAATAAAAAGTGGCTTGGCATAGTGAATGGACTGCTATGCAAACCTTTACAATTTCAGTGTTTGTGAAATAGGGATTTTCAGAAAATGTCAATTTGATCTTATAATTATCCAAATTTATTTCGTCTCTTTCAATAATTAGTTCGTTGAGGCATTGAACAACCTATTTTAAAATTATAAATTTGATTATTTCCTTCTAGTTTGCGATAATCAATAATAAATGTATTTTAAACGGTACCTCAAAATCATCAGAATCTAAAAACTGGGCTATCATATATCAGAAGGAAATGGAAGTGAGTGCCAAGGTGTAAAAGTATTTACTTATCTATTAAGGAAATGAACTTTTACTATTTTTGAAAATAATAACTTACCGACATGTGGGTGGTTCATGAACTATAAAAGTTATGAGCAATCGTGAATTTTACAATAATAATCAAAATAAATACGTTAATTTAATTAAAGAATGCTAAGATGATAATTCATACGGCTGTTGTCCAAAACCTTGGAATTTTTTCAAAGATTTTCCGTCGTTTTTCGTAAATTGGAGCCAAAAGTTTCACTTGTTGTCGTGCTATATTATGAATGTAAATGAAATAGATTAAAAATTAAATCATCTCTAGCTAGTTTAGGCTGGTGGCTTTATTTGGTCAAACTCAAACCTCTAAAATCTATAAAGTTACTCACCAAGTTCTGTTTCTACCTGCTCAAATTCGTGAAGCAAAGACTTCATCTCTTCGAAAACGCCTTCGTCGATTGCTCCAGATTCGCCATTGTTTGTCTCAACTTTCGAGCTACTTGCCATCTTTACGACAACTCTTCAGATTCGCAGAAATCAACGAAGCAATTAAATTTGCACAAATATCTAGGCCTTATAAATAGCATTTACGATTATAGCTAGTCAAATTGCCATTGGCTTAGCCGAAATTAGGTAGGCATTGTGTCACGATGTACCAGAAGAATGGTCCTTGCAGAATTCTTAACGTCGGTGTT